GGTTGGGGGGGAGGGGAAAGGGGAAGAAGCCTTTATTAAGCACCTACTGTGTGCCAGCCACTGTGCTAATCACTGTACACTTATTATTTCATTTAATCCTCAAAATAACCCTGGGAGGTAGGTGCTATTATTATTTGCAATTTACAGATGAAAAAACTGAGGCAGATGGGGGGAAGTGACTTGTCCAGGGTCACACAACTAGAAAGTGGCTGAGGCAGGATTTGAACTCAGGTCTTCCTGATGCCAAATCCAGTGCTCTATCTACTATACCACCTAACTGCCTTGAAATGATATTGTATATTTTGCATTTTAATATTGGGTGAGACATTTGAAAGCTGCTCTCAAACTTAAGAAGTGGGAGAGCATGGCTCCTTTCCCCTCATTTTAGTTTGCGAATCTCCAGGCTGTTTCTGGTGATGATGCAACCCCAGGAGGAGGAGTGAGGATGAGTGGCGGGTTAAGTAAAGTGCAGCACCTGTATGGGGCTGGGAGACTGGGGTTTCTTTTCACACTGCCTCCTGTGAACAAATGAATTGCAATGAATTAAAATAAGGAATGTATCATTGCCAAAGGCAAACATCCGAAGACTGGCCCACCTTAGCCATGTGCTTTGGAAGCTGCCAGGGGCCAGGGGTCCTGAAGTTGGGCCAGTGCTGCCCTAGAAGACCCCCCCCCCCCCTCCTCGTGTTCGGCTCCTTGTACTTTGCACCCTCTCTCCCTGACATCTTCACAGCTTCCCCTCTCTCATCCTTGCTGTATGACTCCTCTCCAAGCCCCCGGGGCCCTTGGGCCAGGCATTATCCCTAACGCCTCCCTTCTCTTCCCGGGCTGATCATTTGCTGACCCCAGCAACGAGGTTCTGCTCTCCTGGGCAGCTGCCCTGACTTTCCTCCCTGCAACAACCCCAGCTCATGACCTCAAGCAACAGGGATGCATCAGCCTGCTAGGATTCAAATAGACATTCAACAGAGACATATTTCATAGTGAAGGTTTGCAGAGTATTTTACCTATATTGTCTCATTAGGTCCATACAACAACCCTGTCCGGTAGGTGCTATTATTATTCCCATTTTATAGATGTGGTAAGGCTAGGAGGATAAGTGATGTGTCCAAGGCCACACAGCTGGGAAGAAGCCGAGGCAGGATCTGAACCCAGGGATTCTTGACTCCGTGTCCAGAGGTCTGTCTCCTGTGTCACCTAGTAGCCCAGAAATATGTTTTTTACAGTCAGAGAGAGGAAGAGGAGAGAGAGGGGGAAAAGGAGAAAGGGAAATGGGAGAAAAAGAAGAGGAAAGAAGAGAAAGGGGAAGAGAGAGAGAAGAAAAGAGGAGAAGAGAGAAGAAAAGGAGTGAAAGGAGAGAGAAGCAGAGAAGACAGAGAAAAGAAAAGAGACGGGAAAGGGAAAGGGGAAAGAGAAGATGAGAGAAAGGAGGGAGAAAGGGTGGAGAGATAGAGGATGGAAGAAGGAAGAAACCAAGCACTTATTAAATGCCTACTATGTACCAGGCAGTGTGCTCAGCACTTTACAAATATTACCTCCTTTGATCTTCCCTCCAACCCTGGACGATAGGTGCTATTGTTATCCCCATTTTATAGTGGAGGAAAGTGACTTGTCCAGGGTCACACAACTAGTAAATTATTGAGGCTTAATTTTAACTTGAGTCTTCCTGACTTCAGGCTCAGTGCTGAAAAGAGGAAAAAGGGAAAGAGAGGAGAGAAAAGGGGGAAGGTACAAAGAAGAAAAAGGTAGAAGAAGACAGAAATGAGAAAGGGAAAGATGAAAGAGAGCTCACAATGTTATTTAACACAAAATACTATGAATTGTGAACTCCCAGAAAAATGATGTTACTTTTAAAAGTCCATTCTGTACTAGGCACTTTGCTTCTCCCTGCGACTCCCTGGCAGACGGAGGTCCCAGGTGAGGCACCTGGAGTCTCTGGGATGCTGGCGCCTCATACTCTGCTCTGTTTTCTGGGAATACGTTGTACAGGTTATTTCCATCTAGCCCCCTCCTCAGACTGAGTGCTCTGTGGCTTGCTACTAAAATACGATGGGGGGGGGCATTGCTTTAAATGTCATGGTGGAAGCAGAAAAGTCATGAGGGAGAAATTTCAACTGTCCAATGATGAGGCCTTGGGCACCAAACTTTAGTGGAGGAATGATAATAGTAACATGTTTTATACAATGATTTCTGGTTTCCAAGCGTTTTGTTCAGCACTCTGGAAGGTAGTATAACAACCCAGGTAATGCAAATGGCATCATCCCTGTTTTCTAGATGAGGGAACTGAGGCCCTGTGAGGCGTACTGATCTGGCCAAAGGGCCAGGGCCCTGGCGCAGCTCATTCACTCTTCTTCTCGTGCTCCTGGCCTCCTTGTTGTGTCTAAGTCTCATGATGGGTCAGAGTCTCACTATGCCTAGAGATGGCATGGACAGACAAGGCCACTTCAAAGACGAGTAGGGGGCGGGGGGGAGGGGGGAGGCATCTGGGAAATGATTCATTATTTAGGAAGACTAACAAGGTTCCATGTATTGTCTAGTTAATTAGCAGTAGACACAGCATTCAAAGCTAGAAGGGACCTTGGACTTAGGTTATTGCAAAAGAAACAGAGGCTCTGAGCTGGTAAGGGGTTTGCCCAAGATCACATGGGGAGAAAGGTGCAGAGTAAGAATTCAAACCCAGATCCCTGACTCCATAGCCCCTGATCTTTCTACCATACCTTCTTCCCTCCCGAGAGCGGCCCAGGTCCCAGTGGCTGCCTGGGTCCTCCCACTGCAACAGGGGCTATTTGAGGCATTGTGCTCTGAGGGCGTGTTTTGCTTGCAGGTGCATAGGACACTTGGGAGAGTAAGCTGTGGGCTCTTCACATATATGAACAGGGGTGTAATTATGTCTTCTTTCTGCAGCAGATAATGAAAAGGCTCATAAAGCGTTATGTTCTGAAAGCCCAAGTAGACAAGGAGAACGATGAGGTCAATGAAGGTGAGTGGCCTCTGCAGGAGACGCTTGCTTTGCAAAGGGCTTCAGCAAACATGGGAGACAACATCTCTTGGAGCTGGGGGGAGGGGAGAGAGACAGAGACAGAGATACAGAGACAGAGAGAGACAGAGTTACAGAGACAGAGAGAGACAGAGACAGAGACAGAGAGAGGGAGGGAGGGCAGAGAGATGGGGAGGAAGGAGGAGGGGAAAAGAAGGCTCCTTGGACATCTTAAAACATTACAGAAGTTAGATTTATGATTATTTGAGTTGAGTCTTATAATTCAAGGGCAGCTGAGCAGGCTGTGGCATGTTTTCCAACTATCTGAGCAGAGTCATAAATAGGGCTTTTTGTGCCTGGGGAAAGAGAACAAGGATGAAGGGTCCCGAGGAGGGGAGGGCAGGGGAGGGGATGGAGACAGACAGTGAGAGGAGGAAATGTTCTGTCTGGTGCCCTGGAGTAAAATCCTAGATATGACTTTAAGAGGCAGCATGGGTAGTACCCTAGACTTGGGGCCAGGAAGATCTGAGTTCAAATCCTGCCTCAGAAACTTACTCACTGTGTGACTCTAGGCAAGTCACTTCCCTTCCCTAATTTCCTCAGCTGTAAAATGAGGGACTTGATGCTGACGCCCTTTCAGGGCCCTTCCAGCTCTCAATCTAGGATCTTAGGGGTTCGATGATGGCTCCGTCCGATGATGGGTCCGATGATGGAATTCTCGTCTGGTGAGAGCCAAGGATTCCTGGGCAGGCGCCCACATGACAGGCCATCCTGACCCACCCGCCGTTTCTCAACTGTCTATGCAGGTCTTTTCCTCCACTGATGGGGTCTTGATCCTCACAGCCCTGGTTAGGCAGAAGGCTAGCTGTATCTTTGCCAAGAAAGCCCCAGCTGGGGTCGCAGAGTCTGACACTACTGTACTCAGTTTGCCCAGCAAGGATTGTTTCTATTTGAGCTCAGCACCTCTGCTTTACATCGTAATTTGAGAGTGAGCCATATTTTGGGCGATGGGCCAAACCATTTATGGCAGCCATCATGGTGTTAAATGTCATTGGTGGGGTGCCTCTTAATAGACAAGGCAGCCCCCTGCTGTGCTAAGGAGCCTGTAGTTAATGGCTGCCTGCCGCAGTGCTTCTGACAGCCTGTGCCTCACGGCCCTTGTTTCACCATCATATCTCTTGTTATTGGTACAGACACTTGGGACCAGCCAGCTCGTCTACCTGCTATCCCCTTCTCTGGCTTGTGCCCGTCCTGTAAATGCCATTCCTTTTCTCTGGAGTGCCTTCTTGCTCTTTTCCCATCTTCTCTTCTGAAATTATTCAAAACTGACCCCCAGGAAGGCATGTGAGAACCCCACATTGAATCAAACTAGGTTCCTAGGACTTTAGCTTTAGGACTCCAAGGGAGTGTATCTGATACAGCCACCTCCGTTTACAGATGAGGAAACTGAGTCCCAGGGAGTTAAAGTTACTTACTCAAGGTCACACAGCTATTAAGTTTCAGAGTTGTAATTTGAGTCCGGGTTCATTAACTCCAAATCCAGAAGTTTTTCAATTACCCATACTGCCTCCTCAAGCATAGCTCTGAGGTTAGCTGGAAGCCCTTTGTCTGACCACAAAATGCAATCAGAGTGGATTCACTATGTAAGTGTGCCTCTCAGCTAAAGGAACCAATGCTACTATACCTTCTTCTGGATAACTGTGGGTGGGGGAGGCATTCTTGCTGTGGGTCAGAGAAAAGGGTGTTGGGCAAGTTGACCCCTCTGGGTCTGGAGTCTTATCATCCCTATGCAACTACTAGCAAATTGTGACAAAAACCAGTTGCTGAATAAACATGGGATTGTTGATTCCGAATGTCAGTAGTTTATCGAAGTAGACGTTTTAAAGGGAAAAATTTGAAATATGTATGTACGCTTGGAGATATCCTCAGACTTCTTTACACTGAATGGATATTACATGCTCTTTTCCAAATCAATGAACAAGAGAACAAAAATGACTTTCTGCCGTCTTTTCTTGCAAATGATACAGGTGAGCTGAAAGAAATCAAACAAGACATTTCAAGCCTGCGCTATGAACTCTTGGAAGACAAGTCCCAAGCAACAGAGGAGTTAGCACTTCTGATCCATAAACTGACAGAGAAACTGAATCCTAACATGCTGAGATGTGAATGACTCAGGGGTCTGGGAGCCTCTTGTCAACTATAGCAGAAACACGGGCAATAATATTTCTAATAGATACTGGGGGGGAGAAGACTATGTCCATTTTTAGCATAAACTGCCTTTATTATGTGAACCTTTCCTTGAAAGCTAAGACTTTAAGAGTTGACTAGTTCAATCCACCAACAAAATGATCTTATTTTAGTTGTCTCCACCGATGTTTTTACATTTTTAAAAAATAAGATAGCATTTTACAAAAAGTCCAATTGTAGAGGGCTGATCGGGGAGTCTTACCAGCTGGATGAAGATAGGTCAGGTCAACCTTGGTTTGCCATTTTGGTTGGATCTCTCTTGGGAAGGTGTAGACTTGTCTGTTGTGTGGTGTTGTGGAAAGAGTACTCAGATGTACTTAGAATCATGGGACCTAGGGTCGAATCCTGTCTCGTCCATTTACTACCCATCTAATAACCTTGGGCCCATTCGTTTTCCCTCTCTCAGTTTCTTCATTTGTAAAATGAGGGAATCAGACGAGATGACTTCCAAGTTCCCTTCCAGTTCAAAAATCTATGGTGAGCTAACTGTGATGACTTTATTGAGAAGACTGAGGACATCTCCTGGGCTTAAGTCCTTGTGAGTCATTAAGACCCTCTGATTAAGAGTGATTAAACTTTCATGGGTATAATTTGATTGACTCAGGCTTTGAATCTGAGCTGCCTCTTTGTATTAGGCACAAAAGGAGCACTTAGTCTGAATGTATGTCTACTGAGGGATCCAGAGAGAGTGAAGCCAGAGAGGTAAGAGCAGACTAATAAGCCTTGAATGGAAGTGGGGTGCAGTGCTTCATACCCCAAAGACCCTCCAGGAACCAATCCTCCTTCCTCACAGTCCCAGGGAGGGCAAGCTCAGGAGATGCCCTTAGTCACATCATGGAGGTGTTAATGGGCGTTTTCACACTCACTTGGGAAACCAAAATCCCAAACCAAGGCGCACCTTCTTGTAACTGCATCAAGTTGATCAGCTTCTCTTATCAGCTCTCTACACTGCATTCAACTATCCTGGATCATTTTCCTTTTTTTTTTTACAACTGACCCTTCAACATTTGCACTAACTGGTTGGCCAGAAAAAGTAATAGCCCAAACCATACCTTCCTTTGCAGCCAGTGGTCCAAAAAGATTTCTTGAGAGAATTGTTGAAGAACATATATATAAGCCAATGGGGCTCATCAATACTTGCTGAAACAATTTTTGTTCTGAGATAATCGATGTTGCCTTTGAGCCGTAAGTTGGGAGCTTGATGGCAAGGTGTTATATTGTACTGTCCAAAGCAACGAACGCTATTGTGTGCTTTATTTATCTATCTGTATATACATGTTGTATATCGTGTCCTTTCAGTTGTAAGTTCCCTTTCCCTTTGTTGAGGTGATGTGAATTTAGTCCCAAGTGCATTTTCACGGGGCAGACTTTATTTTCAATTCCCTGCCAGGCTGACACCTCGTTGCAGGTTTCTCATTGCTGCCTCTGTGTTTAGCAGCTTAATGTAAGTCACACTTAGTGGGCTTTGCATTTTGTGAGTGTGTTTTTATGCAAAGAAATCATGCGCTAAAATGAAGAGTAATAAAGGAAAACCCAAAGCGCCAGACAGACAGAGCTAGGTCCTTGTCTGGGGAGCTTTGGGATGCTGCATAAATATAGCTAGATGCTTGTGTAGCCAGCAGAGGTCGCCAAGGAGGGCAGAATTGGGCTGAGGAGGACTTTCTTCCCTCTAACACAAAGGGATAGGTCTTAATCCTGGGCCACACTTGCCTCTGTCCGAAGGTCTTGCCAGGGGTGGGAAACCTGCTGCCCTGAGGCACATGTGGCCTTCTAGGTCCTCGGGTGTGGTGTTTTGACTGAGTCCAAGTTTTACAGAACAAGTCCTTTTATTAAGGGGATTTGTTCTGTGAAGTTTGGATTCAGTCCAAGGGCTGCACTTGAGGACCTAGAGGACCACATGTGGCCCTGACAGGTTCCCTATCCCTGGTTGGCTATAGAGATTACCTTTCCTCCTGGGGGAGCAAGGTGGAAATTGACTGATCTGCTTTTATTCAAAACTTCCAGGGACAAAAAGATAAACTCCCAATTTTAGCCCACAGTGGCAGTGGCCCACAGGTTCTCATAGTTGTCATTTCTCCCTGTTATTTTTAGGAGCTTATTAATGCAGATTATTAAGAAAATAAAAACAAAAGCTCAGAGCCACCATGTTAGAGTGACCTCTAGTTGCTAGGTCAAAGACAGCCTGTGAAAATCTTTTTATTCACATAGTCACTGTGGACCCCCCACCCCACTCTTGGTACCCAAATAAAGACAAAGGCATTTTAGAAATTAGATCTTGATCTAATTGAAACAAGATCTCAAGTGCTAATAAAGAAATAAGGAATAGAAGGAAAGAAAAGAGATTTAGCATTTAAGCCTCCACCCTTTCAGACAGAAAAGGAAGGGGGAGGAGAAAAAGAAGACAATTCATCAGCAATGTGGCTTTCCTCAGGAAAGACCAGTCTCATTCTCCCCGGAAAGAAATAGATCTATGAGCAGTAGGTCCCAAAGGCTCAATGCTTACAAGGACTCTCCTCCTGCCAGACAGCCTCCATTTCTTTGACATTGTAACAACTGAATATCTTTCTAGTGTTATGTGTTAATATCCACTTGTATTGACTGTGACAAAACATGAACTTTTGGTACCATTAAAAAAATCCATAAATTGGGGGCGGCTAGGTGGCACATTAGATACAGCACTGGCCCTGGAGTCAGGAGGACCTGAGTTCAAATCCAACCTCAGACCAAACGCTTGACATTTACTAGCTGTGTCACTTAACCACAACTGCCTAAACTACCTGCTGTCTGTCCCCAGTACAGGCAGGTGAGACTTTCAGGGCCAACCTAACTCTGTCCCTCTAAGGTCCCTTCCAGTCCAAAACTGTGTAAGTGATCCTGTCTCTTCCTAAGCTGAGCAGAGAAAGCTATCTCTGAAACACTGAACTACATCTCCCAGGGGCCCTCTGTACCGTCTGTTATATTTGTCCAGTGGTTGTTGGCAATCCTGTCTCTAGGGGACATCTATGTCTGTCACTGCAAACACCTACTGAGAGATGTTTGCATCTAACCAAATCATTCCAGTCTAACTTTCTTGGTTTTGGTCTATACCTGCAATTTAATCTCTGTAGAGAACTCTCTAATGTGTCAGAGGCAGGACTGCAACCCAGGTCTTTCCAACTCCAAAGCTGTTTCTCTATCTACTGTTTCACTGCCTCTTCAACTATAGAAATAATATAGAAACTAGCACATTTGTATTTGAAGTCTATCAGAATGGGTTTGGATACTCCTACAATGCCTCAAACTCCAAATATTGGAAGGCTGTTATAAGAAATGGGGATTATATTTCTATTTGCCACTAGAGAGAAGAAATAGGAACAGTATGTGGGGACAAAGGGGTGAGGGATGGGATTGCAGAGAGGCAGATTTGGGTCCACTGTCAGGAGTGACTTCCTAACATTGTGAGCTGTCCCAAAGTGGAATGGGCTATCTCAGAAAGCAGTGGACTTTCCCTCCTCTCATTAGAGGAGGCTGGGGGACCACTTACAAGGCATATTGGAGGGGGGATTCTTCTCCAGAGAAAGGTTGAACCACATGCCCTTTGAGGTCCCATCTGGCATTCCATAAAGAATTGAGCTTCAAACCAATAAGGTGTCCTAGCACAAGGATTTGTACTTACAAAATGTATCCCCCAAAACTGGGGAAAGACTCAGAAGGACTTCTGCCAGCTAGCTTAAATCACTTAGAAATTTATACTCTGGATCATGAGTTTCCTGGACCCCCTGCCCCTCAAAGCTGTTCCCATAGCACTCTCTTAGGAATGTAAATTGTAATCATTTTCTTCCTCCTATATCCAGATGAAAAAGCCCAACTTGGATGGCAGAGCCAAATACAGCTTCCCAGATTCAATGACATCAACTAGTATGTCCTGGAGATGCCATAACTTTTCAAGTGATATATTTTACAGTTTCTACCTTGAGAACTTTGTTTCTGTTGCCATTAAGAAAAAAAAAATTCCCTTCATGCTCTACCAATATCTAAAAGCTTTCCAATTTTCACATGTATTTTACAGTTGAATATTTGATGTGAAGCCTCAGACCTTAATAAAAGACTGAATATTTTTCTAGTGTTACGTGTTAATATCCACTTGTATTGACTGTGACAAAACATGAACTTTTGGTACTATTAAAAAAATCCAGAAATTGGGGGCAGCTAGGTGACACAGTGGATACAGCACTGGCCCTGGAGTCAGGAGGACCTGAGTTCAAATCCAACCTCAGACCAAACGCTTGACATTTACTAGCTGTGTCATTTAATCCCAACTGCCTAAAAAAAAAAAAAATCCAGAAATCCTCTGCTCTGCAGTCTTGGGACAGGCCCCAGCAGCAAAAAAAAAATGCCTTTAGCTACCTACTTGCTGGCATTAGATTGGATTGTAAGGTACTTGAGGACAGGAGCTGTCTTTTGCCTCTTTTTTGTATTCTTAGTGCTTAGCACAGTGCCTGGTGCATAGTAGGTGCTTAATAAATGTTTATTGAGCAGCTCAGTGGTACAGTGGATATAGTGCCAGGCCTGGAGTCAGGAAGACCTGAGTTCAAATCTGACCTCAGATACCTACAAGCTGTGTGACCCTGGACAAGTCACTTACCCCCTGTTTGCCTCAGTTTCCTCATCTGTAAAATGAGCTGGAGAAGGAAATAGCAAACCACTCCAGTATCTTTGCCAAGAAAACCTCAAATGGGTTCAAAGAGAGTTGGACACAATTGAAAAATGACTTAATAACTACAAATACTAAGGATCTGAATATAACTTCCTGGTGGCCTAAGTGCTAAAAATCCAGGGCCCAACAAATCACCTCCTCCTCCCTTCTGGCCAGTCTATCAATATAGGCAATTCAGAGGCAGTGAAGCTATCCCAACTGAATCAATGTTCTATCCTTAATGAATATCCTTTCCCTGCTATGAATAAGTTAACCTCCCTTTGGTGATTTCTAAATGATCTACAAGTGTTTCACTGCATTCTAAACTCCAACCTGAGCTGCCAGGCTTTCCTTAATCAGAGCTGGCTGATTATGCAATACTAAAAGTAAAAAAGGAGAATCCACAACAAAGGAAGAGAAAATAAAGGTGATTATTAAAACCTATTTTGTCTAATTATGTACTAAAAAACCTTAAATGCATGAACATTCACAAAAATATAAAAAAATCTTGATTGATAGAGTAAGAAATAGATCATTTAAATAACCCGATCTCAGATAAAGAAATTGAAAAAGCCATAAATGCATTCTTCCCCCAAAAACCTAGAATCAGATGGATTTAAAAGTAAATTTTATCAAGCCTTCAAAGAAAACTACAAACTTTCAAAAAATAGGAAAAGAGTGGATTCTACAAAATTCCTTTATGGATAGAAATATAGTCTTGATACTTAAAGGGAGAGACAAAACAGATAGAAAACTAGATTGATATCTATAATGAATATTGGTGCAAGAATATGCATAAATTATTAGTAAAGAAGCTATAGGAAGAGATTTAAAATATTATATGCTATGGCCAAGCTGGATTTATACCAGGACTGATTCTAAATTTGGAAAATTACAAAAGTAATAGACCATACTAAGGAAAATAATCACGATTATATCTGCAACCAGAATTCGGATTGGTATTATGAGATTTGTACTCTTTCCCCACTCTGGGAAGAGACATGATCTATTCCGTGGTTTGTATGGACTGAGTGGGTGATGCCAACAAAGCGTCTCTGGCCTCTCGTCTTCACCAGTTACAGCCACCTGGCTGGCATCATGCAGTCCAGCACTGCCAAACTTCTGTAGCAATCCTCTTTCTTCCCGGACTGGGGATACACTATAAAGCCCATAACAGTCCAAGTCCTAGTTCTGCATCAACAGAAACAGGAGAAGCTTTTTGATAAACTGTAATATGCATTTCTTCAACATCAACAACAAAAACCCTAAAAAGCACGAGAATAAATGGACCTTTTCTTAATACAGCAAATAGTATCTTTGAACCATCATTGCTCAAGGTTGGAATGTGCCATTATAATAAAAATGACATTACCAAAATAAATGTATTTATTCAGTGCCATACCATCATAGAACTAGGGAAAAAGTAAAATTCATCTAAAAGAATCACAAGTCAAGGGTCTCAAGGCAAACAGTGAAAAAAAAGTGGGAAGGAAGCAGGCTTAGATATTCCAGCTTTCAACTTTACTAGAAAACAGTAATCACAAAAACTATTAGGAATGTGTTAAAACTAGGAAAAAATGATAACTTGGGCAGATTAAGTACACAAGACCCAAAAGCAATTGAGCATGGTAGCATAGTGTTCAACAAACCTAAAGATGCCAATTACTATGATAAGGATTTACTATTCAACAAAAACTGCTAGGAAAATTGGAAAGCAGTCAGGCTGTAAGTAGGTGTAAGCCAACCTATTATAGCACAACCATGATAAGCTTCAGATGGGTTACAGAACCTAGATTTAAAAGGTCACATGATAAAAAAAAATTACAGGAATAGAGAAAGAGATCCTTTTCACTACTATATATAAAGGAATAGCTCTCGACCAAGCAAGAGGGATAGAGAAGATCACTAGAGATAAAATGGGCCGTTTTTATTGCATAAACTTGAAAAGCTTCTTTACACACAAAACCATTGTAATCAAAATTAGAGAGGGAACAATTAAAAAGGTTGAAATCCTTGCAACTTGTTTTTCTGGTAAAGATTTTTTTCACATAAAAATTTGTTTTAATGGTCTGAAAATTCTGCGACTGATTTTTGATCAAGTTGTTTCCGTTTTTAAATTA